CGGGACTTGGGAGTGTTATTTGATAGCAAAGTAACCTTTAAAGGTCATATTCATCACATCATATCTAAATCACTCAAATTATTCGGATTTGTTCAACGATCCACAGATAAATTTTCTATAAATACCTTTAGAATATTGTACTGTTATTTGGTGCGCTCGGTTTTGGAAAATAATTGTGTGATATGGAGTCCTCTATATAAGACAGATATATCTATGATTGAGAAAGTACAAAACAAATTTCTGAGACCATTTGCATTTGAGCTCGGATATCAGAGGTCCAACTATGAGTACTCAGACATTCTGCTTCCTCTGAATTTATCTACTTTGGAACACTGCCGAGCTAAAATTGATCTAAGACTTCTTCATAAAGTTATAAATGGTGATATGAACTGTCCAATTGTAACACAAACGATTAACTTCAATGTAAATTCAAGAAGAACCAGAGTGTTAGATAGTTATAGTACATATGTGTGTATTTGTTAATCATTTTGCAAAAATAAGCTATGCCACAAACAAATAAATGTAACTCGACAGCTTCACTTACTTCCTTATCAGATCTCGGCGGCACTCTAGCAAAGGCGCTCATCTCTCTATCATGGTTTATCTTCATCAAGCTCAAATCATAGCGGCTATACATTTTATCGTTCTGGGGACGATTGATCTCCCTGGAGAACTCCTTCTTATCTTACTTGTTTGATTTGTCGAGAAAGTGTGATATTAAAAAAATATAATATTATGAGACATTATAAACACAAGATGTTCAGTGATAGTTTTCCAGTTGGCTCTGCATTGCGAAAGGAAAAGCTATGCGTCTTGAAAAAGTCGTTACAGCAGCAGCAAAATATTATGTCAGTTTCAATGTCACAAAATGTAACAGTGACGAGAGCGTCCTACGAAATTTGTTATTTACTAGGAAAACATATGAAACCATTTAGTGACGCTGAGATTGTGAAGGAGTGTTTTATAAATGCTTTACATATATTATTTGAAAAGTTTTGCAACAAAGCACAGATAATATCACGAATCACGAAACTACAGCTCTCAGATTCCACCTGCGTTAGTCGAATTGAAGTAGCAGGCGTTTGAGAGTAACATGTAGTAATTAAATGCCAGATTTATCAGAAATTGTAAATAGTTTGCGTCAATGTCAATCATCACATTAATTTTTTAATAAATGGTTTATTTTTACAGTTGCGTTTTATTGTATTTTACATACAACGTCTAACTCTAATAAAGTAAAACCTGAAAGTAGTTTGTTCAATTCAGTTTTATTATTGCGGCCCGCAAGGTCTAGCAGTAGCGACTATGTGGCCCAAGAGGAAAAAAGGTTTAAGTACCGCTGATCTATACTATTTGTGTAATATTCTATAACATTTTTTTATATATAGATAAAACATAGAGAGAGACAGAGAGAGAGAAAACATTAAAAACTTTCATCCAGAGAGCAAGCAATCTGAAATTCCCAAACTACTGGACGGTTTGATAACTAAAAAAATTACATTCGATACAAAAAACATAATAAAACACCAACATGGCTTCATATCTGGTAAATCTACCACTACGAATTTATTGCCATCAATGGTAACATGTCAAAATGGATGAAGAGC